TGCCTATCAACTCCCCCATGTTTGCTCTAGCTAATTTAATTACAAAAATACACCCCTAGCCCCCTGATATTTTGTTTCCTTCCTAGTAAGCTTAGCACCTGATACCTAGCAAGAGTTTTCTCAGGCCTGGCTGTCATTGTTTATATCTGCACAAGCGCTTAATAAAAACTATTTTCATTTTCAATTCCTTGTAATAAATGTGTCAAATGCATTTGTTTATCGCTAGTTAAATGGAAGATTTTTCCCAAAGATTATTTTTATTATATTCGTTTTTTTTTATAATTTCTCTTCTACAGAATATTCTATTCTGTTTTAATAATCAATTACGGGGGCGGTTTGTTTGTATGCAATTTTCTGCTTTGAATTCATTTGTCCAGACAGCTGTCAATACCCCTTATTTTAACATTTTTTTACGCTGAAAAAGATGGCAGCATGTGTATCGTTGTGTCGTTTTGCGTTGGTTTGGGTGAACAGTTAACAAATGGCAGTAATTACGACAAATTGATTAGGCATGTCATTGCGGGCACCACTCATTATTGGTTGGGTATTAAGAATTGGGTTTTACGAAATGTCATTTAAGCTGTCAAATATAAAGACCAAAGTACAAATGGTAACTAAAGATTATTCGTTTGTTTTTAATGTGAAAGGTTACATTTAAATGTTTATTTTTTAGAGTGTCCTTCTGGACCTATAGTTCTAACTCAGATATGGAAAGATTTAAAATATTCATATATCAGAAGTTTTATTAGGTTGTGTTCGTTCGGTACTCTACCTATCTTTAGCTATATGACTTTTTATAAGTTTCTTTCCCAGTTCATCAAGAAAACTAAAACACAAATTGTACTAGATCCGGAGTCTTTAGATAATGAATAAATTTTCACCTTAATTTTCAGATCTTGAAAGATCTGTCCTTCAGTAAGCCAACAGGGAACTTACAGCAAATTCGATTAGATCTGTTAGAGAAACAGCTTTTAGAGAGTTCTGATATACATATAACTCTATATGCAGACAATTATATAGGCTATATATCTAAATATCTTCTTTCATAATTGCCTGGAGGTAATCTATCCGTGAGACATTAATTTTAATTAATCTTTGTACAAAAAACTTCTTCAGTAATTACTCGATTAATCTATTAGATAAGTAGATGTAGACCAAGCGTTAATGGAGATCATACATCGTCCCAAGCTCTCAAATTGTCGCGTTACACTATATACTCAGCTCAAGACCAGATTATAGCCTCCATTTTGTACAATTTAATCAGCTATAGACTAGTATATAGTCTTAATTATACACCGGAGTAAATACCCAACTATAGATCATGCTATAGAATCAACTACAGATCATGTTATAGACCCTAGTTTATACTATTATCTCCATCATAGACCAAATTATAGTCTTATCTGTAGAGCATACTAGTGAATCAAGTTCTGATTTGGCTACAACTATACAGACTCAACTACAGACTGCTACGACATCTAATGTGGGATAAAATCTCGACCAGGGACTGAATTATCGTCTCAACTATAGAGTAGACTAAAGACTCATGTATAGAGCAGACTATAGGTTCAAATATAGATCGGACTATATACTACACTATAAGAAGGCAACTATGGCACAGACTAAATTCTAAATTATAGAAAAGACCTTACTATTAGATAATATACTGATCAGGCTATAGCCTCTAGTCTGGGGTATAATATCAACAACAGACCACATTATTTTCCTAACTATAAAGCAGACAATAAACTTAAATATAGCCCAGACTATAGGTTCAAATATAGACCAGACAACTATTGAACATACTATATGTTAAACTATAGATAAGACCATACTATTGGCTCAACTATTGTTCATGCTATATCCTCTATTTTGTACCATTATCTCAACCACAGACCAAACTATGTTCCCAAGAAGTAACTATAGACAAGACTATAGGCTCTAGTCTGCGCTATAAACTCACAGCAGACCAGATTATCGTCCAAACTATTGAGTAGACTATAGGCTTTAATACAAACCAGTATACAAGTCTAGTCTATAGTTTAGTCTAGTCAATAGTCCAGTCTATAGTCTAGTCTAGTCTATAGTCTAATCTATAGTCTAATCTATAGTCTAGTCAATAGTCCAGTCTATAGTCTAGTCTTTAGTCTATAGTCTAGTCTATAGACTAATCTATAGCCTAATCTATAGTCTAGTCTATAGTCTATAGTCTAGTCTATAGTCTAGTCTATAGTCTAGTCTATAGTCTAGTCTATAGTCTAGTCTATAGTCTAGTCTATAGTCTAGTCTATAGTCTAGTCTATAGTCTAGTCTATAGTCTAGTCTATAGTCTAGTCTATAGTCTAGTCTATAGTCTAGTCTATAGTCTAGTCTATAGTCTAGTCTATAGTCTAGTCTTAGTCTAGTCTATAGTCTAGTCTATAGTCTAGTCTATAGTCTAGTCTATAGTCTAGTCTATAGTCTAGTCTATAGTCTAGTCTATAGTCTAGTCTATAGTCTAGTCTATAGTCTAGTCTATAGTCTAGTCTATAGTCTAGTCTATAGTCTAGTCTATAGTCTAGTCTATAGTCTAGTCTATAGTCTAGTCTATAGTCTAGTCTATAGTCTAGTCTATAGTCTAGTCTATAGTCTAGTCTATAGTCTAGTCTATAGTCTAGTCTATAGTCTAGTCTATAGTCTAGTCTATAGTCTAGTCTATAGTCTAGTCTATAGTCTAGTCTATAGTCTAGTCCTATAGTCTAGTCTATAGTCTAGTCTATAGTCTAGTCTATAGTCTAGTCTATAGTCTAGTCTATAGTCTAGTCTATAGTCTAGTCTATAGTCTAGTCTATAGTCTAGTCTATAGTCTAGTCTATAGTCTAGTCTATAGTCTAGTCTATAGTCTAGTCTATAGTCTAGTCTATAGTCTAGTCTATAGTCTAGTCTATAGTCTAGTCTATAGTCTAGTCTATAGTCTAGTCTATAGTCTAGTCTATAGTCTAGTCTATAGTCTAGTCTATAGTCTAGTCTATAGTCTAGTCTATAGTCTAGTCTATAGTCTAGTCTATAGTCTAGTCTATAGTCTAGTCTATAGTCTAGTCTATAGTCTAGTCTATAGTCTAGTCTATAGTCTAGTCTATAGTCTAGTCTATAGTCTAGTCTATAGTCTAGTCTATAGTCTAGTCTATAGTCTAGTCTATAGTCTAGTCTATAGTCTAGTCTATAGTCTAGTCTATAGTCTAGTCTATAGTCTAGTCTATAGTCTAGTCTATAGTCTAGTCTATAGTCTAGTCTAGTCCTATAGTCTAGTCTATAGTCTAGTCTATAGTCTAGTCTATAGTCTAGTCTATAGTCTAGTCTATAGTCTAGTCTATAGTCTAGTCTATAGTCTCGATAGTCTAGTCTATAGTCTATTCTATAGTCTAGTCTATAGTCTAGTCTATAGTCTATTCTATAGTCTAGTCTATAGTCTATTCTATAGTCTAGTCTATAGTCTAGTCTATAGTCTAGTCTAGACTATAGACTGGGCCATCTAGTGTGGGCCATTATGTCAAGCACAGACCCGTCTATTGAAAGCGTCAATATATAGAGCATTAACTTAAAAAAATCTGAATTTAATAGCCGATTTTTTATAACATTTTTATAATCTCTGTACCTTTCAGTTTTGTTACTCATTCCGACATTGTTGTGCTTATGGCATTTTGGCAACAAACAACGAAACTAAATAAAAAGTGTTTTTGGCATTTTTCTAATTTTCCTCGAAAAAGAAGGAAAAATATCAGTTTAGTTAGTTAGTTTTTTACTCCCTCAAATAACCCAGAAAAATTTTAATAACTGGAGAAATAACTCTTAGTTTGTCGATCAAAAAACTTTTACTTATAAGCAAAAGATTAAAGAATCGAAACTAGTTTTAGATAAATATTAGCAAGCAAGGGGCCTTTTTGAAATTAGCGTTCCCGGAATATTCGCGAACTGAGAATAAACTTGAATTTTACGTTTTTTTTAAATAGAAAATATATTAAAAACAGTTCGTGGTTGAATATATTATCAAAAATTTGCAAAACGTGGACTTTTACAATTCAAAATTGAAAGAATTTTCGCGAATTGTTAATATTCGCCTTAGATTTTTAGTTATTTTTTAAATGTTTGTTAAAACTTTTGTTGGGTTTTAGATTAAAATTAAAAATACTAACATAAAATTAAACTGAAAACAATTTCATAAAATGTCAGCTGACATTTACAGATAAGGTTAAACCATGAAATAAAATGTAATATTTAATATTAACTGCTTTAAGATATACAATAAGTTTCAATCAATTAATTTTTTAATTGAAACAATAACATCATAACTAAATTACTAATATATGTTAAATAACTTTAGCTTAACACTCGTTTAACTTTAATTAAATTTTAAAAAGCGTCATATTTTAATTAAACCAATTAAATTGTTAATTGCCTGCCTATAAATTGAACACAATTTTCATTAATTTCTCTTCCTGGTTTCCTTTTTTTTTTTTGTTTGAAACATGGGCTACAACTTATTTACATATTTTTTTAATTACAATTTATTGTTTTTGAAAATAAATTGCTTAAAGTTTTATTTTTGTTGATTTTTTCTTACCCGCTCCGAGTTTTTTTATTTTTATTTCACACAGGACAAATGTTGCCATATGTTGCAAACATCTTTTGTTTTATATTTTTTTACTTATAACGGTGGGGGTTATTTTTCGTTCTTCCATTTTTCTATAATATTTATGACTTGAACAAATATTTGTTAAATAAATTTAGGTTAACATGTGCAGGAAATCAAAATTAAAACAAAGTCATATTAAAATATATTAAGATTTATGTTTCAGTTTATATAAATCTTTTTTTTGCCAAATGTGTTATTTTTGTAGAAGAAATTCCATGATTTGTAATATTTGTTTTTCAAATAATTAAAGTTAAGCTTTTAATAATATAATATAACTGTCAGTATTTATGTTTTTTTAATGAAATTTATCTACGTTTTTTCTTTTTAGGTAAATACTTCTTTGACTTCAATTAATTTACCTTCAATTTTCTAAAATTGTAAGTATTAGTCGCACTTATATGAATTATTTAAAATCATAAGTTTTAATCACTTAAATCAAGTTCGAAGGACCAATTACATACAACTATACAGGTTTGAAACTCTAGAAACTTAGAGACCATATACGCACTTTACTAAAGCACTAAGCTGGACCAGATCTTCTCCATTACTTCAGGTTTTCGAGATAGCATTTCCTAACACTAGCAGAAACCCATTTCAGGTGATAGTCTATAGTCCAGACTAATCCAGAACATAGAATAGTCTATAGTCCTGACTATAGAATAGTCTATAGTCCTGACTATAGAATAGTCTATAGTCCAGACTATAGAATAGTCTATAGTCCAGACTATAGATTATACAATAGTCCAGACTATAAATTATACAATAGCCCAGACTATGGAATAATCTATAGTACAGACTATAGAATATTATATATTCCAGATTAGTCTATAGTCCAGACTATAGATTAGTCTATCGTCCAGATTAGTTTATAGTCCAGACTATAGATTGGTGTATTGTCTGGATTATAGATTAGGCTACAGTACAGACTATAGATTAGTCTATAGTTCTCACTAAAAATTAGTCTATAGTCCAGGCTATAGATTAGTGTATTGTCTGGACTATAGATTAGTCTATATACTACACTATAAGAAGGCAACTATGGCACAGACTAAATTCTAAATTATAGAAAAGACCTTACTATTAGATAATATACTGATCAGGCTATAGCCTCTAGTCTGGGGTATAATATCAACAACAGACCACATTATTTTCCTAACTATAAAGCAGACAATAAACTTAAATATAGCCCAGACTATAGGTTCAAATATAGACCAGACAACTATTGAACATACTATATGTTAAACTATAGATAAGACCATACTATTGGCTCAACTATTGTTCATGCTATATCCTCTATTTTGTACCATTATCTCAACCACAGACCAAACTATGTTCCCAAGAAGTAACTATAGACAAGACTATAGGCTCTAGTCTGCGCTATAAACTCACAGCAGACCAGATTATCGTCCAAACTATTGAGTAGACTATAGGCTTTAATACAAACCAGTATACAAGTCTAGTCTATAGTTTAGTCTAGTCAATAGTCCAGTCTATAGTCTAGTCTAGTCTATAGTCTAATCTATAGTCTAATCTATAGTCTAGTCAATAGTCCAGTCTATAGTCTAGTCTTTAGTCTATAGTCTAGTCTATAGACTAATCTATAGCCTAATCTATAGTCTAGTCTATAGTCCAGTCTATAGTCTAGTCTATAGTCTAGTCTATAGTCTAGTCTATAATCTAGTCTATAGTCTAGTCTATAGACTAGTCTATAGTCTAGTCTATAGTCTAGTCTATAGTCTAGTCTATAGTCTAGTCTATAGTCTAGTCTATAGTCTAGTCTATAGTCTAGTCTATAGTCTAGTCTATAGTCTAGTCTATAGTCTAGTCTATAGTCTAGTCTATAGTCTAGTCTATAGTCTAGTCTATAGTCTAGTCTATAGTCTAGTCTATAGTCTAGTCTATAGTCTAGTCTATAGTCTAGTCTATAGTCTAGTCTATAGTCTAGTCTATAGTCTAGTCTATAGTCTAGTCTATAGTCTAGTCTATAGTCTAGTCTATAGTCTAGTCTATAGTCTAGTCTATAGTCTAGTCTATAGTCTAGTCTATAGTCTAGTCTATAGTCTAGTCTATAGTCTAGTCTATAGTCTAGTCTAGTCTATAGTCTAGTCTATGTCAGTCTATAGTCTAGTCTATAGTCTAGTCTATAGTCTAGTCTAGTCTAGTCTATAGTCTAGTCTATAGTCTAGTCTATAGTCTAGTTATAGTCTAGTCTATATAGTCTAGTCTATGTCTGTCTATAGTCTAGTCTATAGTCTAGTCTATAGTCTAGTCTATAGTCCTAGTCTATAGTCTAGTCTATAGTCTAGTCTATAGTCTAGTCTATAGTCTAGTCTATAGTCTAGTCTATAGTCTAGTCTATAGCTAGTCTATAGTCTAGTCTATAGTCTAGCTCTATAGTTCAGTCTATAGTCTAGTCTATAGTCTAGTCTATAGTCTAGTCTATAGTCTAGTCTATAGTCTAGTCTATAGTCTAGTCTATAGTCTAGTCTATAGTCTAGTCTATAGTCTAGTCTATAGTCTAGTCTATAGTCTAGTCTATAGTCTAGTCTATAGTCTAGTCTATAGTCTAGTCTATAGTCTAGTCTATAGTCTAGTCTATAGTCTAGTCTATAGTCTAGTCTATAGTCTAGTCTATAGTCTAGTCTATAGTCTAGTAGTCTAGTCTATAGTCTAGTCTATAGTCTAGTCTATAGTCTAGTCTATAGTCTAGTCTATAGTCTAGCTATAGCTAGTCTATAGTCCTAGTCTATAGTCTATTCTATAGTCTAGTAGCTATAGTCTATTCTATAGTCTAGTCTATAGTCTAGTCTATAGTCTAGTCTATAGTCTATTTAAGTCTAGTCTATAGTCTATTCTATAGTCTAGTCTATAGTCTAGTCTATAGTCTAGTCTAGACTATAGACTGGGCCATCTAGTGTGGGCCATTATGTCAAGCACAGACCCGTCTATTGAAAGCGTCAATATATAGAGCATTAACTTAAAAAAATCTGAATTTAATAGCCGATTTTTTATAACATTTTTATAATCTCTGTACCTTTCAGTTTTGTTACTCATTCCGACATTGTTGTGCTTATGGCATTTTGGCAACAAACAACGAAACTAAATAAAAGTGTTTTTGGCATTTTTCTAATTTTCCTCGAAAAAGAAGGAAAAATATCAGTTTAGTTAGTTAGTTTTTTACTCCCTCAAATAACCCAGAAAAATTTTAATAACTGGAGAAATAACTCTTAGTTTGTCGATCAAAAAACTTTTACTTATAAGCAAAAGATTAAAGAATCGAAACTAGTTTTAGATAAATATTAGCAAGCAAGGGGCCTTTTTGAAATTAGCGTTCCCGGAATATTCGCGAACTGAGAATAAACTTGAATTTTACGTTTTTTTTAAATAGAAAATATATTAAAAACAGTTCGTGGTTGAATATATTATCAAAAATTTGCAAAACGTGGACTTTTACAATTCAAAATTGAAAGAATTTTCGCGAATTGTTAATATTCGCCTTAGATTTTTAGTTATTTTTTAAATGTTTGTTAAAACTTTTGTTGGGTTTTAGATTAAAATTAAAAATACTAACATAAAATTAAACTGAAAACAATTTCATAAAATGTCAGCTGACATTTACAGATAAGGTTAAACCATGAAATAAAATGTAATATTTAATATTAACTGCTTTAAGATATACAATAAGTTTCAATCAATTAATTTTTTAATTGAAACAATAACATCATAACTAAATTACTAATATATGTTAAATAACTTTAGCTTAACACTCGTTTAACTTTAATTAAATTTTAAAAAGCGTCATATTTTAATTAAACCAATTAAATTGTTAATTGCCTGCCTATAAATTGAACACAATTTTCATTAATTTCTCTTCCTGGTTTCCTTTTTTTTTTTTTGTTTGAAACATGGGCTACAACTTATTTACATATTTTTTTAATTACAATTTATTGTTTTTGAAAATAAATTGCTTAAAGTTTTATTTTTGTTGATTTTTTCTTACCCGCTCCGAGTTTTTTTATTTTTATTTCACACAGGACAAATGTTGCCATATGTTGCAAACATCTTTTGTTTTATATTTTTTTACTTATAACGGTGGGGGTTATTTTTCGTTCTTCCATTTTTCTATAATATTTATGACTTGAACAAATATTTGTTAAATAAATTTAGGTTAACATGTGCAGGAAATCAAAATTAAAACAAAGTCATATTAAAATATATTAAGATTTATGTTTCAGTTTATATAAATCTTTTTTTTGCCAAATGTGTTATTTTTGTAGAAGAAATTCCATGATTTGTAATATTTGTTTTTCAAATAATTAAAGTTAAGCTTTTAATAATATAATATAACTGTCAGTATTTATGTTTTTTTAATGAAATTTATCTACGTTTTTTCTTTTTAGGTAAATACTTCTTTGACTTCAATTAATTTACCTTCAATTTTCTAAAATTGTAAGTATTAGTCGCACTTATATGAATTATTTAAAATCATAAGTTTTAATCACTTAAATCAAGTTCGAAGGACCAATTACATACAACTATACAGGTTTGAAACTCTAGAAACTTAGAGACCATATACGCACTTTACTAAAGCACTAAGCTGGACCAGATCTTCTCCATTACTTCAGGTTTTCGAGATAGCATTTCCTAACACTAGCAGAAACCCATTTCAGGTGATAGTCTATAGTCCAGACTAATCCAGAACATAGAATAGTCTATAGTCCTGACTATAGAATAGTCTATAGTCCTGACTATAGAATAGTCTATAGTCCAGACTATAGAATAGTCTATAGTCCAGACTATAGATTATACAATAGTCCAGACTATAAATTATACAATAGCCCAGACTATGGAATAATCTATAGTACAGACTATAGAATATTATATATTCCAGATTAGTCTATAGTCCAGACTATAGATTAGTCTATCGTCCAGATTAGTTTATAGTCCAGACTATAGATTGGTGTATTGTCTGGATTATAGATTAGGCTACAGTACAGACTATAGATTAGTCTATAGTTCTCACTAAAAATTAGTCTATAGTCCAGGCTATAGATTAGTGTATTGTCTGGACTATAGATTAGTCTACAGTACAGACTATATATTAGTCCATAATATAGAATAGTCTATAGTCCAGACCATATAATAGACCATAATCATAACTATAGAACAGACTATAGTCCAGACTATAGAATAGTCTTTAGTCCAGACTATAGATTAGTCTATAGTCCAGACTATAGATTAGTCTATAGTCCAGACTATAGATTAATCTATAGTCCAGACTATAGATTAATCTATAGTGCTGACTATAGAATAGTCTATAGTCCAGATATATGGAATAGTCTATAGTCCAGATATATGGAATAGTCTATACAGATTAGTGTATAGTCTATAGCCCAGACTATAGATTGGTCTATAGTCCAGACTCTAGATTGGTCTGTAGTTAAGATTATAGATTGATATATAGTCCAGACCATTGTATGTAGTCCAGAATATAGAATAGTCTATAGTCCAGACTATAGAATAGTCTATAGTCCAGACTATGGAATAGTCTATAGTCCAGACTAAAGAATAGTCTATAGTCCAGACTATAGAATAGTCTATAGTCCAGACTAAAGAATAGTCTATAGTCCAGACTATTGAATAGGCTATAGTTCAGTTTATAGATTGGTCTATAGTCCAGACTATAGTCTAGACTATAGATTAGTCCAGACTATAGAATAGTCTATTGTCCAGAAATATAGAATAGTCTATAGTCCAGATATATGGAATAGTATATAGTCCAGATATATGGAATAGTCTATATAGATTATTCTATAGTCTAGACTATAGATTAGTGTATAGTCTAGACTATATAGATTAGTCTATAGTCTAGAATATATATTAGTCTATAGCCCAGACTATAGATTGGTCTATAGTCCAGACTTTAGATTGGTCTGTAGTTAAGATTGTAGATTGATATATAGTCCAGACCATTGTATGTATTTCAGTTTATAGACTACTCCAGACTAGACTAGTCCAGACTACAGATTAGTCTATAGTTCAGACTATAGATTAGTCAATAGTCCAGACAGTAGAATAATCTATAGTCTAAACTGTAGAATTGTCTATAGTTCAGAGAATAGAATACAGAGTATAGAATAGTCCACAGTCCATATATTATAGTTCAAACTATAGTATAGTCCAAACTATAAAATAGTCTATAGTCCAGACTGTATAGACTACTTTTTTTGTTGAATTAATAAAATTTTATAATAATATTATTAAAATCTCAAAAATTCCCTGCGGTCAACAAATATTTCTCCAATCAATCTTTAGTTTTTCTACAATTATTTTATTTAAATTTCCGTTAGTTTCCTAAAATCAATTCATTTGTTTATTTTAATGTATAAAAATTTACTTACAATTCAATATGAACTCATACAGAATTTTAAAAACAAAACAGAAAAAATCTAAAGAAAAAATGAAATTCTAAAGCAGCTGGCATTACTCCCAAAATGTCTGGCAGAGATTTTTTTGTTGTATTTATTGGAATAATTTTGCTTCTTTTTTTATTATTCAGCCATAAGACAATTTGGATATTAAACATACAGCCAACAACTGTAAAACATACATACTACAGTCGTTCGTTCCTACTTAAGAATTGGCAAAAAAAAAAACATTACAACAAAATTCATATACTTCCACTGCTGCTGCTGTTGGTCTATGTACTTGAAGTTACACCGTTGCCAATGGAATTAGAAATTTCTAATCGAATTTTAAAATTTTCTTTTTAGGACATTCTGAAATATAAAGAAAAGTGAAAAATTCAGAAGAATTATAATAAATTTCAGAAATAGTTTAGAAATTTTTCAAAATACAATTAAAAATGGTGTCGCTTAGCTTGCATTTGAAAAAAAGGAAAGGGATGTAATATCAAAAGCGGCACAAGTACAAGTGGGAACAGAACAGAAATCACTGGCAATCGAAGGAAAAGCCAAGGGGTATAGTGTGGTGGTAGTGTGGCAGTGGCATGAAATAACAGCTGCTATTGCAATAATTCTTATTACCAAAAGTAGATGCCAGATGAAGTACAGATGATGGCATAAACTTATGTTAAGATTAACTTACATACAACATATTTATTCCAACTACGTAGTATTTTACTGCAGGCAGGGAACGTATACCAAGAAATAGGGAACAAAAGAGAGGGAGACAGAACTGACTGAGTGAAATGGAAATAAAAGATGAATGTTTTTTGCAAATGTCTGGCACAGATTGAACCCAAGTACCCAAGTTAAAAAAAAACACAATTGCCAAAAGGCAACAATAACAATTGTACATATAACAATATCAATACTCTTGACGAAAAAGACATCAGAAAAAAACTTGGAAAATAATAAAGCAATTGAATAAATTTAAAAAATAAAAGAAACCAAAAACATTAAAAAACGAAACAGAAATATTTAGAATTTATAAAAAGTTTTTCGTATTTTAAATGAACTTCAAAAGCTATGTACTTACATATGCATGTATACTTTCACATGTTTTTTTTTTGAATGTATTTAATGAAATACAATTACCGGAGGTTTTGCAATATTATACGAGGGTTGTGAGGGACTACGGACAAATAATCACTCATTACTCAGTCTAGAGAATAGCCTATACCATAGACAATATAGACTGATCTACACACTCGACTATAGAGCGGTCTAGGGTCCCGAGTATAGATTTGTCCAGACTATATAATAGTCTATAGTCAAGATTATAGAATAGTCTGTAGTCCAGATTATAGAATAGTCTATTGTCAAGACTAAAGAATAGTTTATAGTCCAGACTATAGAATAGTGTATAGTCCATAGAATAGTCTATAGTCCACAATATAGAATAGTCTATAGTCCAGGCTATAGAATAGTTTATAGTTCAGACTATAGAATTTCTATATTCCAGACTATAGAATAGTCTATAGTCCAGACTATAGAATAGTTTATAGTCCAGACTATAGAATAGTCTATAGTCCAGACTATAGAATAGTCTATAGTCCACACTATAGAATAGTCTATAGTCCAGACTATATAGTCTATATTCCAGATTATAGAATAGTCTATAGTCCAGATTATAGAATAGTCTATAGTCCAGACTATAGAATAGTCTATAGTCCGGACTATAGAATAGTCCATAGTCCAGACTATAGAATAGTCTATAGTCCACACTATAGAATAGTCTATAGTCCAGACTATAGAATAGTCTATATTCTAGATTATAGAATAGTCAATAGTCCACACTATAGAATAGTCTATAGTCCAGACTATAGAATAGTCTATATTCTAGATTATAGAATAGTCTATAAGTCCAGATTATAGAATAGTCAATAAGTCCAGATTATAGAATAGTCAATATAGAATAGTCTATAGTCCAGGCTATAGAATAGTCTATAGTTCAGACTATAGAATAGTCTATAGTCCAGACTATAGAATAGTCTATAGTCCAGACTATAGAATAGTCTATAGTCCAGACTATAGAATAGTCTATAGTCCAGACTACAGAATAGTCCATAGTCCAGACTATAGAATAGTCTATAGTCCAGACTACAGAATAGTCTATAGTCCAGACTATAGAATAGTCTATAGTCCAGACTATAGAATAGTCTATAGTCCAGACTATAGAAAGTGTATAGTCCAGACTATAGAATAGTCTATAGTCCACACTATAGAATAGTGTATAGTCCAAACTATAGAATAGTCTATATTCTAGATTATAGAATAGTCTATAAGTCCAGATTATAGAATAGTCAATAGTCCAGACTATAGAATAGTCTATAGTCCAGACTATAGAATAGTCTATAGTCCACACTATAGAATAGTCTATAGTCCAGACTATAGAATAGTCTATAGTCCAGACTATAGAATAGTCTATAGTCCAGACTATAGAACAGTCTATAGTCCATACTATAGAACAGTCTATAGTCCATACTATAGAACAGTCTATAGTCCGTACTATGGAACAGTACAGACTATAGAAATGTCTATAGTCCAGACTATAGAACAGTCTATAGTCCAGACTATAGAATAGTCTATAGTCCAGACTATAGAATAGTCTATAGTCAAGACTATAGAATAGTCTATAGTCCAGACTATAGAATAGTCTATAGTCCAGACTATAGAATAGTCTATAGTCCAGACTATATAATAGTCTATAGTCCAGACTATAGAATAGTCTATGGTCCAGACTATAGAATAGTCTATAGTCCAGACTATAGAATAGTCTATAGTCCAGACTATAGAATAGTCTATGGTCCAGACTATAGAATAATCTATAGTCCAGACTATAGAATAGTCTACAGTCCAGACTATAGAATAGTCTATAGTCCAGACTATAGAATAGTCTATAGTCCAGACTATAGAATAGTCTATAGTCCAGACTATAGAATAGTCTATAGTCCAGACTATAGAATAGTTTATAGTAAAGACTAT